AGGTCGCTGAAGATATATTGTGACAATACCGCAGTAGTTTTCTTCTCTAAGAATGGAAAGTACTCCAGTGGTTCTAAACACATGGAAGTAAAGTACTTGGTTGTTAGAGAAAGAGTCCAGAAACAACATGTGTTAATTGAAAACTTAAGCACCTCTCTTATGATTGCTGATCCATTCACAAAGGGATTGCCACGAAAGACATACAAAGAGCATGTTATCAGGATGGGTCTTTTAAGCAACCCTTGATGTGTATGGTTAATTCTGAGTGCTTATTTTTATTTGACATTATTTGCGCAATAATAATTTTGTTTCTAATTTTCCTGTTTCTAAAAGTGTGTGTACACATTAAATTGAATATTGATAAACAGGGAATGTCTTAACAAGACAAATTACAGGGGCTTTTCAGGCAAATAATTATATATCCCGATAATGGACTGGGTTGGTGAAGGTTATCGATGGTGTAGTGCATAAAAGAAAATATGACATAAATGTTATATAATCGCTATGACTCACATTGGTGATCTGAAGTAATCACAGTATTATAGTTTCTAATATATCTGAATTTATTGGCTATTTTTAAAATTCGTGATTACGTTTCAAAGTTTTTAGTGTGGAATCCAATGAGTCATAATTGCATCATAATCGGCTTAATGGGCCAAGTAGGAGAATGTTGGATTTATTTTCTAGTATGACCCAATAGCCTACATAGTTTTTACATGTTATAATTTATTTGGACTCTACAATTAGATAAAGCCAATATTATATATAAAGTTCAGTAATTAGAATTTTAATATAATCACTCTTCTAAGATAAGAAGGAAACCTTGATGGATTAGGAATTCTTCTGATAGAGTTTATCTGGCCCTCTTCTCTCCTTTATATAAGGATGGGTGACTTCCCTTTTATATCATAAGTATTTTCTATCACTCTAAGTTTTATAGTCATCCTAATTAAGAAAGACAAAGAGAAGAAGGTGAGTCAAGAATTAAAGGTTCAACTCTAAGGGGTATTTTCTCAACTTCTCTAATTCAATGGTTGACAAAGGTATGTTCGTTTTATTCTTGAGTTGTATTGAATTTAAGATCCTGTTAAGCTTAATTCCGCATTATTATTATTATGGTTACATATATTATTAATACTTACAAAAACAAGTGCGGAATATGATACTTGTATGTATGCGACAGAGATTTTAATGTTCAATAGAAAATTTTGATTTTAAGTTCCAACAAAGTTCAAATTTTCTTTTTTTTTCTTCTTTTTTTTAATGGTGCAATTAGATTCTGGACAATTGAATGGATGCTTGGATTACTACTAAAATGGTTGGTAGTATGTTGGGTTATGTGCATAACTGTTGACCAAACCAGAATAAAGGGTAACAAGGGAAGAAGATGGATTGTGTATGGTTCAATTTGAATATTTCTTTGTTTGGATGCAGGAAGGAATATGAATGTGCCAAAGAAGCCCCTTGGAACCTCACAAGAGCACATGCATCATCAGGTTAATTTCTCTCTCTCTCAATTTTATAATTGTAACATATTTAAAGTTATAAACACAAAATAAATATTCCCAAAGACATATATGTACACGTACCGATGCATAAGTTGGTTTGATTTGAGTGATTCGGAAAGAAAAATAAAATAGAATTACCTTATCCCTTCTTTCTCATTTGAATGCTTATGAAAAATGATAAGAAAGAGAACTCATGACACACAGTGACACAGCTATCCTTTCCTAATTTTGCCATTTTTAGTGAGTGAGAAAGTTAGCTTTCAAAATATCAAATTTGTCTATCAAAGTTAAAGGAGAAAAAAAAATATATCATTCATACCCAGACAAGATAAAAGTTATTTTAGGAAAATAAGATCAAAACAGTTTCTTTTGTTTTCTTTTAAGTTGTTTATATCATTTAATTCTAGTGGATCTGTTTTAAATATCAAAAGATACATCAGCTTAAAAAACTGAAATGGACAAATTGCATTAGTAATCCTGGTGGTTTGTTTCATTTGTCAATTTAGTTGTTGTATTTTTAATTGCATAAATTGTGGCATTAAAATTTTAAATTATGTCAATTTAATGCAATTAAAAATGTCTCTTAAAAAATTGGACTGAAATTGAGGAAAAAATTATACATTTAAAAAAATGAATGGGCCAAATCAAATTTGATGCACCTTGTCAATCACTTTGAGGACTAAGGTGATAGAGAGATACGCATTTAATTTGATATAATTCATTCATTTTTTAATGACTCTTGAATTTTGTCTAATCTCTTTACAAACATTATTAATTGAATTAGATTGACACAATATAAAAAACAAAATGACAAACAGATGCAAATGAAACTATAGTGTTAGGTTTGTCTAATCTCTTCGCTCGAGCAAGCATCGCGATTCAGATTTCTATAAGTACGAGTTTCTGTCAAATTTTAGGATTACTTCTCTAGATCTTCTTCTTGGGTTCTAGGATTTATATCTAGGGATATTTTGCTAGTTTTCTTTGATGTTTTGATTGAGTATTCAACTCATGATTTAAAGAGTATACATTAAAGGATTATTTGATTGTTCTACACAAAAGAGAGAGTTGATCTTCGGCGGATTCTAAAGAATTCGAGCCTGAAGTTTTGGTGGATTCTGGAGTGGCTCATCGTCAAGACAATTCCGAGGTGAAGACGGGATTGGAAGAGGCACATGGAGGTTGGTTCAATTCGGGCGTGGATTTGCTAGGTAATTGAGAGTATACCTGTGTAATTCCTTTATATCTTCTTAGTGGATTGTTTTGTGGCTGTTGCTCGTGATTTTTTTATCACAATTGGAGGTGTCCAATTGTGGTTTTTCTACGTAAAATCATTGTGTCGATTTGTCTTGATTGTTTAATTGGGATTGATTTGTCTTGATTGTTTGATTGGGATTGTTATATACTGCTTAAAATTGATACATAATCATAAATCAACATGTAGGGGATTTCTAGATTTTTCATATAGGAACCCAAGAAAAATTATAAAGAAAAATTTATTTGTTTAGTATTTTCCTCTCCAAACACTCAACTTTCGCTTTACCTTTTCCACAGAATGATGCAAGCTTATTAAAGCCCAAACAGTTGGGCTCCAAAAGACTGGGCAATTCAGTGAAGGAGTCAGTTGATCTCCACAAATCCAACACACTATGCTCCCAAGATTCTGAAGCAGACACAAGTAAGGACAGATTGGGATGTTCAATTCCTAAAGTCTCAAAAGAACTAATTGATTCATTTCAAAATCTTCAATCCCATAAGCTTCTTGATGAGACCTCTTCTGGGATTGTGAACCTAATGAATAGAGACTATCCAGGAGCAGGTAATCCTCCTCACAACAATTATGAGACTTTGCATCAACAAAATGAGATACCTTAGCTTAGGTCTGTTTCACAATTTTGTTGAAGAGTAGAGGGTTTTCATGTTCTCATAATGAAATGTTGAAGAGGGTATCAATTTTGTTAGTTTCATGAGACTTATGGTAGAGTTGTGGACCTATCATTTTAAAACTAAAAAAATCAAATCGATCGATATGTTTTCTAATATAAATGATGTTACTGACAGCTCATTTTGGTAAATGATTCCATATAAATTTTTTTTAAAAAAAGTATTTTCTGTTCAAACAATATATGCATACAAATTAATATAGATAAAAAAATGGAGTATAGTTGTGAGCCAATCACTTCAATTTATAAAACCCATCAATAAGTTTCTTAATGTTAAAAATGTCACTAACACATTATTATGATGAATAATTCTATACAAATTTTAGAAGAAAAGTCTTTTCCATCCAAATACATGAAAAAACAACAATTAATGGTCCCAAAGAGCCATCAGGAGGAGGCAAATTGGAAAACAAGTTAAAATTACCCACATTCCCTTCTATTCCAAAATTTTCCATCATACAAAGCGGAAAATCGGAAAATCAATGAGAATTTATTTCATATATTCATGGGCATGACCACATGGTACTTAGGGTTGTTTGGCATGTGCTATTTTAGTACATCTTTTTATTTTTTATTTTATTTTATTTAGATTATATCACTTCTTATTTAAATTACATTATTTCTCTATCAATTAATATTACACATCATTTTTATAAAAAATTTAAAAATATATTTATTTAAATTATTCTAAGCAACTCCTTAATAAAGATTTCATTTTCTATTTGATGTTAAACTCTTTTGATTCTCTTCTTTCATGAATCCCGCAAAATCATAACTAAACTCCACGCCTCAGATCAAATGTTATTAGTGCTCTATTATCATTTGACAATGATCTATAAGATCAACAATTTTGTGTGCTCCATATAACAAATTTAATTCTAAATTTGGCATAAATGTTTGGATTGGTGTGTCGTTGTGAATGGGCATCTTCTGGGCTCTTGCAAAGTCAAACTTTACTTATCCAATTACTCAGGCACACGTTTAAGTTCACTCAGAAATTAGACCAAAAGTCAACAATTGATCAATAGAATGCATCTTCTCTTCTGACATACATATATAAAACTCAGTCTTCGCAACTCACTAACTCCTTTGATTTTGTTAATCATAAATTCAATGCTCTGTTATATTAAACAAATAAAACATATAAAATTTATTATTACATTTGTCTTTAAAAAAAATATAGATGATTTATTTTGAAAAATATAATTATTTTTTATTTTTAGTGATAAATACAATAAATTGAAGAAATTACAATTATTGAATTAATCTAATTTTTTTATAAATAAAATATATAAAATTTCTAACAAAATAAATTATTAAAATAAAATCCATACTGAACCACATAAACTCAAACATCGACCTCCGTACTGGATACTCTTATACAACTCACTAGCTTCCTTGCTTTTGCTAATATAAATTCAATGCTCTATTATATTTAAATATATATATATATATATATATATATAAAACAAAATTTATAATCATACAAAATTTATCACAAAAGAACAAACTTTATTTCAAATCCGAGGTCCCCAAGGAACTGAATTAATCACACGACATATCTGTTATTGAGCTCACCTAGTTGCTTCACGAATTTCTCCAATTCTCTGGTTGAGCTTCCTCCTTTCACAGGAGCATTCCTGGCCATGTTACGCAGCTGCATAACTCGGGCTCTCTCAGTCCGAGACCCAATTACCGACTCACCCAACACTCGAGTCAACTCGTCTACATCTGGAACATTCTGTGATCCTCCTTCACAAGCTCGAATTGCCACGCCGAGTTGGTTCACCAACAACTTAGCGTCGGTGAACTGGTCCGCATTCATTGTCCAGGTCAGCATAAGTACCCCAGCTGATGTACCCTCTAGCACTGAGTTCCAACCACAATGAGTAACGAACGCACCGACAGCTGGACGTCTCAATATTTCCACTTGCGGGGCCCATCCCTTTATTATGAAACCTCTATCTCCCACACGATCCTTGAACCCATTTGGGATGGCGCCATCATCACCTGCCACGTGTCTTTGATCAGATGCCTTCACACACCAAATAAAATGCACCCGACTGCACTCAAGCGTAGCCGCCAACGCTTCCTTTTGCTTACTTGTTAGTACCACACGGCTCCCGAAGCACACGTAGACAATCGGATCATCAGCCTTACCATCGAGCCACGTCATGACCTCATGAGCTGGCACCGTACTCGATCCACCGCGGTTAGTGAGTCCCACTAGACCACTATCTTTTGGAGGCAATAAGGGTCCCACAGCCCAAATCCGATCGTGCCCCATTCCTTGATATGATCAATGTAAACTTGTTCTAACTTAGTGAACGAGTTGAACACGACACCCCAACTCTCATTATTAGCCAACATCCCATTTCTGAAGAACTCAGTTCTAGGTCTCTTTCCTTGAAATCATGATAATAAGGTGTTATTTGCCACCAAGGGTAAATCGAAGAATTAGGAATTTCCAAAAATGAAATCAAAAAATTTTCATTGTTCGGATCATTGTTCTTGGGTAGGCCGCGCCACAGGGAATCCAAAATCGACGCGGTAAAAGCGCTAGATGGCCAAAAGGCAAGGCGTGGCATGCCGAGATGGGTTGCGAGGCGGTGGGTCCATCCAAGGAAGAAATCAGATACGATGGCTACAGGGGGCGAAGGGTGGAATCGAAACCATTGGAGGATAGGATCGTAAAGCTCACCCGTGGCGCGTATTTTACCGAGAAGGCTTGATTGTGAGGAAGTGAAGGAGTGTGGAAGAAGGAGAACCAGGGGTTGGATGAAGGAGGACAGGTGGCTAGAGAGGATTGGTTGGAGAAGAGGGAGGTGAGATGGGGAGACCAGTACAGTGATGGTGAGGCCGTGGGTGACTAACAGGCGGGTGAGATCGAGGAGAGATATAATGTGCCCCGGCGCAGGGATTGGGTAGACGAGGATATGTGCACCGGAATTACGAGGTGTAGTAGACATGGCTATAACAAAAATTGAAGGAAAAGTCTTGGTTTCACAGAAATGAGAAGGTTTGATGTTTTTTTATATTGTTTGTAAGACTAGTGATTATTGTGCTATTTTATACTAGTCAGTTTCAAAACTTACTTTATGATAAGATTTATACGTCATGCCTTGCGACAAATCAAGTCAACTTTCCCCTGGATGGAATAGGCATCTCCATGTGCTGCTTTCAGAAATGAAATGAGTGAGACCTCAGTGAGGGTGACCCCATCACCCCCAGTAAACGCTAATTGATTCAAACAGTGGCGATACAGACCCCCTAAAAAACAGACTCCCTTGACCCCCTCTGAGGTGGCACCTGCTGAAGTCATGTAAAGAAGAATTGCACAATGAAGAAGGTGTGATACACGCACCTGAAAGACAAAAAAAAAAATATACTAAAAACAAAGACAAAAAAAAAGCGGGAACTGATCTTCGATCGCATCGTGCGTCCGCCATAGCTCTCTTCCGTCACATCGCATTGTGCAGCTTCTTCCCCACCCCTGTCCGTCTTCTCTCTTCCCTTTTCCCTCTTCCATCGTGCGTCCGCCATAGCTCTTCTTCGTCGACCATAGCTCTCCGGCCATAACTCTCTGTATCTTGCTCGACGGATCTTCGATCGCATTCCGATAGCATTTTGTCAGGTAATGTTACCCGAAAACCCCTCATTCTCCCTCTCTCTCTCTATCTACATACATTGATCAATCTTTGTAGACCGAAACCACAAATGGTTATAATAGAGTACTAAAAGGGGTCAAACAAAAATGAAAAAAAGGAAGAAGATGAAGTATATAAAAAAGGTACATCCAGTCCCAGAATAAAAATTTCCGTAAGAATTTTGAAGTTATTTTCAAAATCATATTCTCACACTATAGGATGATATTTGGTAACTCATTTGGAAACTGCCTTCATAGGTTGCAAATGTGCAAATTTTGATTGTAAATTAGGCTATCTTTTTATGCTCGGTGTTGCTTGCAATTATTCATTATGTAACACCTGATAAACTTCATAATGTGAGAAGAAAAACTGTGATGTATAACCAAACCAAGAAGAAACTGTGATGTAACACCTGCAATTATTCATTATGAAACATCTGTGATGATTGAAATACAATGTCTGTCTTGATAATAATTTTAGACAGACTAATGTCTGTATTTTATAAGATGAAATACAGTGGTGATACAGACCTAATGTCTATATTTCTTGATGATAATTGAAATACAGTGGCGATACAGACATAATGTCTGTATTTCTTAGTTTCATAATGAAACGAATTTGAATGTTGAAATGTATGAAACTAATGTCTGTATTTCAACATCCGTGGCGATACAGACATTTCAACAGCTAAAACTAATAAGAAATACAGACATTTCAATTTTATTATGAGCTAAAATTATTAGTTTCATAACAGTTTCAAAGTTTCCAATCATCTTATAAAATAATTATTCTAAAATCATCGTTTTTTAATTTCATTTTTGATTCTCATAGAATGGAGGTTGATTCAAATGGTGGTGACAATCCTTCAGTAAATGAGGGTGAACAAGTTGAATCTGATTTCCGATCCCCTCAAAAACAAGTTGAAGAACCTAAGAAGGGTATGTGTTTTAGCTTAAGGGAAGAAGTGTATACATTTTATGCCACATATGCTAAGCATGTTGGCTTTTCTATAGCTCATAGAGCACAACATTTTGAAGATGATGGCGAATTAAAAAACTTTGCAATTGAATGTTCTCGAACGGGGGAGAGAAAAAAGAAATCAGAAGTGAACCCTTTGAAGCCATCTTTGTCTTCAAAAATTAGTTGCAAAGCAAGGGTACAAGGTACTCTACAAAAGAATGGGACATATATGTTAACCACAGTTAACCTTGAGTATAATCATGATTTGATTCCCACCGACTCTCGTCATTTTGCAATGAATAAGAAAATTCGTACTCTTGTGAAGAGAAGATTAGAAATCAATGATCAAGCAGGGATTGGGGTGTCTAGGAACTATCATTCAATGGTTGTTGAAGCAGGGGGATACAAGTCATTGACATTTGATGAGTGAGATGCAAGGAATTATATTAATAGAGCTAGAAGATTAAGGCTTGGTGAAGGTGATGCCGAATCACTTCAAAGTTATTTTATGAGGATGCAAGCACATAGTGAGAAATTCTTTTATGTGATTGATGTTGATAAGGAGTTTTGTATTAGAAACTTGTTTGGGGCTGATGCAAGGAGTCGGGCTATGTATGAATCATTTGGAGATGTTGTTTCATTTGACACAACTTATTTGACGAACAAATATGACATGCCATTTGCTCTATTTGTAGGAGTCAATCACCATGGACAGTTTATTTTGCTTGGTTGTGGATTGTTATCTAGTGACGACACCGACACATTTGTTTGGCTATTCAAGTCGTGGTTAAGTTACATGTCAAATAATCCTCCAAAAGCTATCATAACAGATCAGTGCAGAGCTATGCAAAATGCTATAGAAATTGTCTTTCCATAGGCCCGACATCGATGGTGCTTATGGCATGTAATGAAGAAAATATCGGAGAAGTTGAAAGGATATGCTCAGTATGAACCCATAAAGTTGGCTATGCAAAATGCAATTTATGATTGTTTGACAAGAGATGAATTTGAGGAAAAATGGGAAGAGATGCTTACTAAATTCAATCTTTATGATAATGAGTGGTTGGGGGTACTATATCATGAGTAGCATCGATGGGTTCCTGTATATGTTAAAGACATTTTTTGGGCTGGCATGTCGACAACACAATGAAGTGAAAGCATGAATGCATTTTTTGATGGATATGTCAACCCGAAGACTACATGAAAACAATTTGTTGAACAATACAACAATGCGTTGAGAAGTAAGGTAGAGAAAGAGAAGAAATCAGACTTCAAGTCTCGACACAAATTGTTTGATTGTCTAACTATATATGGCTCTTGGAGAAGCAATTTCAGCAAGCCTACACCAATGCAAAATTCAAAGAAGTTCAAGGAGAGTTGAAGAGATTAGTGTACTGTCAGGCCTTGATTGTCAAAGAGGAGGGAGCAATTCGTACATATAATGTCCAAGAAGCGATGGTAGTTTGTGACAAGATGAAGCATGTGGACTTTGTTGTGCATTTTAATTCAATTGAATGTGAAGTTCAATGTATGTGTCGGTTGTTTCAATTTAGAGGCATTATGTGTGCTCACTCACTCGCGGTGCTTGTGAGAAGGTACATAAATGAGGTGCCAAGTAAGTACATTTTGCCACGTTGGAGGAAAGATTTGGTTCGAGAGTACACATGCATCAAAACCACGTACACTGGCTTTGGTGATGATTTTAATACAAGTTGCTATGAGAGGATGAACAAGAAATTGATCGCCATTGTACAACTTGCTGGTTGTTCGGAAGGGAAAATTAAAATTATAGACCTTGGGTTGGATGAAATGAAGGATAGAGTCATGCACGATGAATCGGGTGATGGGAGTAATTTGCCACCTTCTACTAATAGGATGCCATCATCTAGAAAAAGTCCAATTGCCACTGGTTGTACATCGAGTGCTAGTACGAGGAAGGTGGTTAGTCCTTTGGTTGTTCGGCAAAGAGGCCGTCCAGTTACGAAACGAAAGGTTGCCAAAGTGGATCAAATAGTGAATCGGTTCAAGGCAACGACAAAAAAACAAACAAAAGCAAAGGTAAATTGTATATTGAATTGAACTTGTATATTGAATTAAACTTGTTTTTTATTTTTTTAACAAACTCTTTTGAAGTACATTTTTACAAACTCTTGAACCAATATAGGCTGCTAAGGTGCTTCAATTTGAAGCTGAAGCTCAAGCTCAAGTGCAAGCTCAAGCTTATACATCATATTATCCTTATATGGTTGGCATGCAAAATAGTGTGTATGCACCGGTATGTGTTCATAAGACGACTTTACATCAATTTTTTGTTTTCATTTACAAATATTTTGTAACATGTACTTTTTTACTTCAATTTTGACAGGTCGTAAATGCTATTAGAGGCACATTTGTTATCCCATCGGACTTTGTAAGCGGCACACCGAGAAGTTTGATGAGTGTTCCAACTCAAATGTTTGGGTCTGGATCTCTAACCCCATCGGGTTCTAATGCATGCACACCAGGAATGAATGATGGACATTGCACAGTGCGAATGAATGATGGACATTGGAGAAGTGTTTGACTAGTTTATTGAGCATTGACATTTTGTTTTTGAGATTGAAACTTATTCTGTTAAGTCCCATGTTAGATGTGTAACACATGTTGTGTATGAATTTGTAAGATTGGTTATTATTAAGTCCCACTTTATTAGTTATGCAAGATTGGTCTTTGAGTTCATGGTTTATTTTGACAATCTGTCTTTGAGTTCACAGGTGATGGTTTAAAAAAATCTGGAAAAAAATCTTTTTCATTTTCCTATTTTGACAGTGTTTTAGCATATTGACAGTGTTTGAGCTTGATTTTTTGAGAGTTCATGCAAAAAAATCTGTTGACAGTTCATGGTTTAAGAAATCTATAAAAAAAATCTGTTTTTTAGTTTGCTATTTTGACAGTATTTGAGCCACAATTTGATTTTTTCAGTTCATGGTTCAAACTGCCAAACTGCCAAATTGTCTTTAAAAATCTGTCTTTGAAAATTTGAAAATTTGTTTTTTAGTTTTCTATTTTGACAGTATTTGAGCCAAAATATGATTTTTTCAGTTTGCCAAACTGTCTTTAAAAATCTCTCTTTGAAAAACAACTCAAATCTGTATTTTAGTTTTTTATTTTGACAATATTTCAGCCAAAATCTGTGCCTATCAGTTCATGTTTCAAACTGCCAAAATCTGTCATGGTTCATGCTCAAACTGTCATGGTTGATACTCAAATCTGTGCTTCAATCTGTTAAAAAACCTGTCTCAGCAAAAATCTGTCATGGTTCAGTTCACAAACTGTGATGGTTCATGGTTCATTCAACAATTCAACAATTCAACAATTCAACA